AACATGACCACAATCAATTTCTCATCACCTCAGAAAGAAGGCTTGTACTCATTAGCACCACTCCCATTTCCCTTCTAACTCCTCACCCCCAGACTCTTGGCAGACACTAAACTACTTCTGTCTCTATGGATCTGCCTATTCTGCATAGTTCATATAAATGGAATCATGTTACATATGGGTTTTTGTGTGTCTGGTATCTTTAACTTAGCACATTTTCAAGTTTTATCTGTGTTTCAGCATATGTCAATACTTGATTTCTTTTTATATTGCCAAATGATACTGTTTGGATAAATGAGGAGACTTCGAAAAGTTTGTGGGGAAATGGAATTAAGAGTTAATGGAATGTTTTCACAAATTTTTAAAATCCCCCTCATACTACATTTTATGGAGTCCTAGTGTGGCAACAGACTGCTAACCATAAGGTCAAAGGTTCAAACCCACCAGCCACTCCTCAAGAAACCCTATATCAAGTTGCTTTGAGTTGGAACCCACTCAACAACACTGAACACCACCACCACACATGTTATGTATGTATCCATTAGTTGGTGGACATGTAATGCTATGTTTTTCTTTTCTTAGGTAGATATCTAGGAGTGGAGTTGCTGGATCCTACAGTACTAACTCCATATTTAACCTATTGAGTAACTGCTAAACTCTTCCAAAGCAACTGCATCATTTTTCATTCCTACCTTCAATGTTCCAATTTCTTCACATCCTCACTAACACTTTTGAAAATAGCCATCCTCGTGGGAGTGAAGTGGTATCTCATTGTAGTTTTGATTTCCAGTTCCCTGATGTCTAATAATGGTGATCATCTTTTCGTGTGTTTACTGGCCATTTATGTATTTGATTTGGAGAAATGTCTGTTCAGGTCCTTTGTGCATATTTAAATTAGGCTCTTTGTCTTTTCATTTTTTTATTTCTAAGAGTTCCTTATACATTCTAAATATAAGTCTCTTGTCATGTATATGATTTGCAGATATTTCCTTTCATTCTATGAATTTTCTTTTCACTTTATGATGTCTTAAGCACAAAAGTTTTTAATCTGATGAAGTTCAAATGTTCTTTTGTGTTTTTGCTGTCCTTAGTGGTGGTGGTGATGTGCTGTTACTATTCCAAGGTCACAAATAATTACCCCTATGTTTTTATACATTACCCCTATGGATCTGTTTGTGGTTAATCTTTGTGTATGGTATGAGTTAGGAGTCCCAGTTCATTCTTTTTTATGTGGATATCCAGTTGTCACAGCACCTTTTGTTGAAAAGACTATTTTCCTCATGGAGTTGTTTTGGCATTCTTGTTGGAAATCAATTGACCAAAAATTGAGGGTTTCTTTCTAGATTCTTAGTTCTCTGTTCTTTTGATCTGGATATCTATTCTTATGCCAGAACCATACTGCTTTGATTATTATAACTTCATAATACATTTTGAATCAAGAAGTGTGAATTTTTTAACTTGGTTCTTTTTTCCAAGATTGCTATGACTATTCTGGTGCCTTGAACTGCTGTATGAATTTTAGAATCACCTTGTCCAATTCCTGCAAAGAAGCCAGCTGGTATTCTGATAGGGATTGCATTGAAACTGTAGATCAGTTTGGGAGCATTGTCATCTTAACAGTATTAAGTCTTCTGATCCATGAACATGGGTTGTCTTTTTTGATCTCATGAACATGTATTTAGATCTTATTTAATTTCTTTCAACATGTTTTGTCATTTTCAGAGTATGGATTTTGTACTTTTGTGAAATTTATTCCTATGTATTTTTTTTCTCATGCTATCATAAATGAAATTGTTAGTTTCATTTTGGATCATCTATTGCTAGCTAGTATTTAGAAATACCATTACTATTTGTATATTAATCTTGTATCCTGCAAATATGCTAAATTAATTTATTAGTTCTAATAAGGAGCTCTGGTAGCGTGATGGTTACGAATTGGGCTAGGAACTGCGAGGTCAGCAGTTTGAAACTACCAGCTGTTCCGCGGGAGAAAGATGAGGCTTTCTGCTCCCGTAAAGATTTACAGCCTCGGAAACCCTGTACAGGGTCACTATGAGTCAGAGCCAACTCCACGGCACATAACAACAACAAAAATAATTTTTAGTGGATTCCTTATTATTTTCTACATACAAGATCATGTGATCTGCAAGTATAATTTGACTTCTTCCTTTCCACTGACATGTATTTTTCTCTTTTGTTTGATCCTTGTCTCTCTCCTCCCAACAGAATGTAAGCTGTTCACCACTATGTTCGCAGTATGTAGAACATTTGTTGTTGTTATGTGCTGTGGAGTCAGTTCCGACTCATAGTGACCCTGTACAGGCTTTCCAAGACTGTAAATCTTTATGGAAGCAGAAAGCCTCTTCTTTCTCCCACGGAACAGCTGGTAGTTTCAAACTGCTGACCTCGCTGTTCCCAGCCCGATTTGTAACCACTACGCTACCAGAGCTCCTTATGTAAAACATGGCCAGGCACAAAAGAATGCTTTTGAATAAGTAGAGCCAGTGTGACTAGAGCCAGGGCCTCCACTCTTCTTGTGACACTGCTACCTGAGGGTCCCTAACCATGTCTTCCAGGTGGGCAGGTACTCTCCCTTTCTTCAGCCTCATAGCTGACCCAGACCATTTCTGCTTCTCCTCAGTCTTGGGGATTATATATATATATAATATATATATATATATATGTAGGGGTTTTCTGGAGCTCACCTTCCTAAAGAGGTTGGAGCATTCTGGTGATTGACTCCTCCTGTGTCCCAGCATCTTCATCAAATGAGACATGTCTGACAGGAGCTAGGCACATTGTGTGGTTCAGCTTCCCTGAGCACTGCCAGGTGATCATGAGGGAGTAGATGGTGTACCCATTTTGCAGATATGGACAGAAAGGTCAAGCCCCAGTCTGAGTCAAACAGTGAGCAAGAAGATTATAGGCCCAGGTCTGCCTGACCCAATTCCCAATGTCCTCGTTACAACCCTTTAAAGGACAAGGGATAAGCCTTGGTCCCATCCTTAAAACCTCATAGAACCAGCAGAGGGGTTGATTGGAGGGTTTCCTCATAGAAGACTAGACTCGAAGGTTTTCATCAGCCAAGGAAATACTCCCCAGTAGAATGGAGAGTACGTCTGCCCCACACTTAGTACTGTTTCTTCTTATTGGAACAGTCTCAGACCTGGCTACATCCCCATTTTTCATTTGAATCTAAACTCGAATAGTCTCTCCCTGCAGCTTTCACTGCCCTTGACTTACCTCTTCCCCCCACCCTCTCCCAGTGACACTAAGTCTTCACTTGGGGTGACTGTCAAATGTCAGTCTGTGAGCAAAGTCCACTGCAGTAGCCTATTAACCTAGTATATACCTGGCACCGTGATCTATATATGGGTGAGGGTGTGCATGGCAGGGCACTGCTGGCTCCCAACACCGATAGCTCCCATGCTTTCCTGGACCCTGTGAGGTGGGGGCTGAGTGCTCTCTGGATAGTTAAGTTCAGATTCTGCTTTGACATTTACTAGAGGTGTGATCTTTGCAGGGTGCCTTTCTGTTGCTGTATCTGTGCCCTTATCTGTAGAAGGAGGTAGAATAGAGTTACTGGTATCACGAGGGTGCTGTGAGAAGCAAACAAACTGTTGTCCAGGCTTGTGGCCCTCCGTGGCCTGTCATTCAGGCCCCCGTGTGACAGCTAACTTGTATCCCTCAGGTTAGCAGTGGTGTGGAGAGGTTATTTCCTCAGCTGTCCCCTTGCCCATTCCGGTTAGACAGGATGGGACTGGAGATAATATCTCTCACACTACCTCCTCTTTTTCCTAGCCGCCCTTTCCTGAGCACGGGATCTGCCAGGCGAGCTGCTCAGACACGGAATCCATAACCCATTACTGCCGCATGCTGTTACCGCCCCCAGATCCTGTCATGGGCCCCAAATCAGCTGGGAGAGGCTTCGAAGAGCTGCTCCCACTGGTTCCCACCCACTCCCAGGGCACAGAATTTAAGGAGTACTGACTTGTTCAGCTTGGTCATGCTCCCCAGCCCCAGGAGGAATTGGGGGAATTGAAAGGCCTGGGCCCAGCTATTGGCAGGGAAACAGAAGACCCTGATTTGGTGTCTCCACTCTGGTGTAGTACCCAAAGCCCGGTTTCTTGGGTTCAAATCCCTGTTCTGCCTCTTACCAGTGGTGTACCTTAGGTGAAGGTCTTAGCCTTCAGAACTTCTGGATTCCTTGAATGAGTAGTCAAATTATGACAGTAGCTGCCCCAGAGAGTTGTTGAAAGGATTCAGTGCAATCCTGTATCTGTAGCACTTGGAGTTTTCAGTGACTGCAGCGTTCATAAAATGCTCTGAGGAGCAGTGCCCAGGACCAGATGAGTGTTAGCTGCTATTGTTGTTGTTGTCTGGGTAGAAGGGGACTCTGGAGTCTGTGCTGTTTATTTCACTCAGTTTCCTAATCTGTACAATAAGATGATATAGTTCCTCTTGGGAAGACAGTTGTGAAGGTCACAGGAGATGGTTTGCAGGGGCCCGACTGGTGGGAGGAGCCTGCTCAAGGCCAGGTGTGGGGGAGGGCAGTACTGGGGAGAGAAGGGCTCTGTTGACCAGGCCCAGAGAACACATAGAGACTGTCAGTTCTTTAAGGAAGGGGTCTGTTGCCCCCAAGTCCACAAGCATAGTCATATTGTGAAAATTAAGTCACTTTGTGATGCAAAATGAGACATGAGAGCTCCCCTTCCTTTCACTCCCTCTGGTAGTATGCCCTTCACCCCCTCCCTGGCCTCTCCAGAGGCTAGCTCAGTGGCTGATGATGCTGTTGTGTGTCATTGAGTTGGTTCTAACTCAGCAACTCTGTAAATGGTTTCCAAGGAGTAGCTGGTGAGTTTGAACCACCAACCTTGCAGTTAAAATGGACCTTGAGGTCAAGTGCTTATCCTATGGCACCATACCAGGACGGTGGGTCCCTTTGGCAGAGTTGATCTGAGTGTCCATGTTTGTGTGCTCACACACCCCCATCTGACCCACAGGGAGGAAGTGCAGGAGAACTGTGTGCGATGGCGGAAGAGATTCACCTTTGTGTGTAAGATGAGCGCTAACCCAGCCACTGGTCTGCTGGACCCCTGCATCTTCCGTGTGTCTGTGCGCAAGGTAAGATGGGCCCACAGGACCAGGCCTGGGGTCAGGGGGTAGGGTGAGGATCACTGATCTGGTGGTCCTTCCGATCCCCTAGTCACCCACTGCTTGTGTCTTCCCTCTCTGTGCAGGAGCTGAAAGGCGGGAAGGCGTATTCCAAGGTAAGCGGGCTGTATGAAGTACCAGAACGATGGGATGGGAAGGGATAGGAAGGGAAGCACTTCCAACCTCCAATGTGCTGTACAAAGGATGGATTCCATTTAGAAATGTCTTTATTGGTAGTTTTACACTTAATATTAAGGCAAATGGGTTTGTTGCAACCCAAATAATGGCTTCTTCCCAGACCTCACCATTGGGATTGGTTAGGATCTTTCCATATCTTTTTAGGGGGATGGAATAAAACAAAATACAGTGAATAATACATATATATATGATTTAGAGAAATATAAAACAAACACCCTATTTGTTGTTTAAGTACCATCAAGTCAGTTTCAGCTTATAGCGACCCTGTGTAGGGTTTCAGAGTGACTGGTGGGTTTGAACTGTCAACCTTGTGGTTAGCAGTACAGTACATATCCTACAGCGTCACATATACACATTGCAAATAATACGATTTTTTCTGCACAAATGGGACTCAAGTTCAAGTGATTCTGCAGCTTGGATTTTTAACCTACCCTTACATCATGGGCATCTTTTCACGTCAACACAGACATATGTCCTCGTACTTTCTAACAGTGGTGAGTCTCCCACTGTGTGGCTGGGTCAATTTAGCCAGTCACCATCTAGGTTGTTGCTAGGCTTGTACTGCACCCCACAGGCAATTCAGCTCTGCATGGAGAAGATGGCTCTGGAAGGTTTACCCTCTAGCTCTGCCTTAAGTCAGTGCCCCTCCATGGGAACTCTGGGAACACTTTGCAGCTCCCAGGAATAAAGCACAACAGGAGAGTGGGCTCAGTCATGGGAAGGGCAATGGCTTCCTTTTACCTCTCACCCTGCACGGAAGGCCATAGGGTGGTGCTGCACAGGGCGTGGCCCTCCCACCACCCAGCACTCAGGAAGTTCTGCAGGCTGTACCGTGCACTTTGCTGGCCTGGCCACAGGTTCTGAAGCAGAGGACAGGGTAGCTAGGATGGAATTGTCAGAATGGAAATTTCTCCTCCTACTGCCTCATGTGGGTAAGGATACCCACCCAACTAGGAAAAAAGCAATCAGCAAACTGCTGGAGCATCCCACCTCCACCCAGCAAACATGTATGGAGCATCTAGCACATGTCAGTCACTCCAGGCCCCTTCCCTTCTGGTGTATAAGTAGAACCTTGGCTGCAAGTTTTACTCCAGTTATGTAGAGGAGAAAAAAAAAATCCAGCGAGATGGCGGGACTTGACACTGGTCAGGCCTGAGTTTTGTCTTAGTTCTGTTGGTTTAAGCTGGTGGGCCAAATAGCTTCTCCTTCTGGAACCTTTGTTTCCTCATTAAAAAGGGGCCACTCTTGGTCAGTGGTGAAGCTGGATCTGAATCAAGTCTCTGATTTTGAAGTAGGTGCCTTGAAACCCTGCAGTAGAAACCTGCATGCAGCAGGTGCTCAATAAATGGCCGTGATTGGTTGGGTTGTGCTCACAGCCCCTAATCCTGGTCCCCTGCTCCATTCAAACTGTTTTCTCTCCAGATCCTAGCAGACTTGAATTTGATATGAGTACTTCTTAGCTCCTGGCCTGCTCTCCCACTTTTCTCCGCATCGTTTCTTGGACTCAGCTTAAGAGGAGCAGTCCAGAGTTCCCTCTTTGAATCCCAGAGTTCCACAGAGCCAGCAAGGCCTCAAGGGTCTATCTAGACTCTAGATTCTGTCCATCAGCCCCCTCACACCAGGCCTCCACCAGGAGGACTTGTGAGCCACAGCCTTTCCTGGGGTTCCCACCCCCCTACAAAGTACCCTGGGCTCCCCAAGGGTGGGGGTGTCCCATGAAACCAGTTCCCACGGGCCTTCTCTCCTTCCCTACTCACTCGTCTGGCAGCTTCTGACAGCACAGCCTTGTTTCCCAGGGAACAATGTGTCTGTGTCGCAGACAATGTGCTTTCATCTCAGGCATACTGGCCCCAGAGCACTCTGGGAGTCGGCACAAAGGGTGCTTTGTGCAGCTCAGGGATGTGAGCTCCTGGCTTTGCCACATGGGTGCCGCTGTCCCTGGCCTCTGTTCTTGGGCCCTGGTTATACAGCAGTCAGGACTGTGGGGCTGGCCCTCCCCTCCCAGCCCTCCCCGACTTCTGGCTGTGTCTGCCAGCCCCCAGTCTATACACTCCTCTTCTCCTAGCTGGGCTTTGCTGACTTGAACCTGGCTGAGTTTGCGGGCTCAGGCTCCACGGTACGCTGCTGCCTGCTGGAGGGATATGACACAAAGAACACCCGTCAGGATAACTCCATCCTCAAGGTACCAGGGCCCTCCTGCTGCTTCTGACCCCTTCCCACCAAAAAGCGGGAGTGGGAGTGGGCACAGAACCTGGCAGCAAGACTGTGGAAAGATGCAATGGGAAGGTGTAGGCCCAAACCCAACTTATAGCAACCCTGCATAGCATTTCTGAGACTGTAAATCTTAATGGGAGCAGAGAGCCCCATCTTTCTCCCAAGGAGTGACTGGTGGATTTGAAGAACCAACCTTGCGGTTAGTAGTCCAGCAGGATGTGGGCCCAGAAGTCAGAAAACCACCTTCAGAGGGCTAGTCTAGCTACTGCCCTTTGTTTCCTACCTCCACAACTGGGGGTCGGTGCTAGACCCAGACAGTTTCCTTTAGAGTTAGGTGAGCACTTGCAGTGAGATAAGAGTTATGTGCTGAAGCTCTGGTCTCATGGCCCCCTGGCAGCAGCCCAGGAGCTGTGCTGTCTGTCAGTAGTCCCAGTTGGCACAGGAGGGAGTTGAGGCACAGAAGTTCAATCATTTGCCTCATGTCACAAGTAGAACTAGGACTTGAGCCCCCAGTGTTTGATTTCACAGTCCAGCTCCTAGCCACAGCCCCACATGACCTCACAGAGGTGGCCTGAGCTGCCACGTGGAGTGTCAGTGAGTGGAAGAACCTGCTCTCACCAAACCTGTGCAAACTGAGGGCCCAGATGCTGTTCTACCCTGGCCAGCCACGTGAAGGTTTCCGGTGGCAGGGAAGCTCCCTCCCCCCAGGCAGCTGCCTCTTCCACCTCCTAGGAGAGGTCTGGTCTTCCTCCACCAGAACACTGCTCTTCCTGAGAAAGTTATCTTGTCCTAACACTCCTCTGAGAGCTGAACCAGTGGGAGCATGTTGTGCCAGGAGCAGAGCTGGGTGATGGGCAGGGGCAATGGGCCTCCTGGACCCTTTTCTGTGGGAACCAAAGTCACCAGACAGACACCTAACGTCCAGGCTAATTGTGGTGGGAGTCAGAACCTTTGAGCCTCACCTAGAGTGGCCCCAGGCACCCTTGTCAAGCCAGATCAAGGGGTCCTGGAGATCATGTGACCTTGGGCTCAAGGCCAGCTTCCCCATTTCCTAGCTTCTTGGATATGGCTTTGCCTCTGCGTCTCAGCCCCTCATCTGTAGCCTGGGACAGGCTACTTTGTAGACTATTCCCCACGCCAGATGAGGTCACCCATGAAAAGCCTCAACCCAGTGATCACCATTTTTGTCAGTGGAAACCCTGGGATGGAGCACCTCTTCTCTACCCTGCCACCCTCTGCCTGTTGCTTTGTCTCAGGTCAGACATGGAGGCCCAAACTTTGCCATGTTTGGAATATTGCCAGAATCTTTGCCCAGGTGGATGTTAAATTTCTAATGGTTTCATGCTGTACTTTTCACTCAACACGCTTTCACCGAACCCCTGCCCACCAAAGTGGATTCCAAGCACCTCCCACTCAGCTCCCATACAAGGTTCAGGATGCCCTCCTCCTGCCTTCTATGAGGGCGGCAGGCTGGACACTGAGGAGGGAGAGTGAGCAAGCTCATTCTCTTCCATGTGCTTCATGCCCTTGGACCAGCCTCTGTCAAACGGGATCAGTAATAGTAACTGCATCCTGGCTTGTTTTAGTGATTAACTAAACAAATGAGCATGCCATCCTGACAGACCCCACTAGTCCACTATAGTCAGATCTATTCTGACTGACAGTGGTCCTATAGGAAAGTGCAGAACTGCTCCTTAGGGTTTCTGAGGCTGTAAATGTTTATGGAGCAGACTGTGCTTGTCTTTCTTTCTTGGAGTGGCTGGTGGGTTTGAACCACTGACCCTTTTGATTAGCAGCCCAATGCTACTGGCATGTAGTAAGTACTTAACATGTATTTCCTGGCATCCTCAAGGAGCTCAGAGTGTAGACATAGCTTAAACTAAAAGTAGCTAACTTGTGCTGCACACTCACCGGAAGGCATCACCTCCACCCTCCAGATGAGGAAACAGACTCAGTGAAGTAAGATGGCTCCAGAGCCCCCAGCCAGGAAGGAATAGAGATAGAACCCTGTGAAGCCAGGGCAGGGCGTGGGTGAATGTGCATGTGGCTGATTGCTCCCCCTTGTCAACAGGTCACCATTGGTATGTTCCTACTCTCTGGAGACCCCTGCTTCAAGACGTGAGTGTCAGCACTGGGCCAGGGGAAGGGTGGGAGGCATGGAGACTCTGCCCTCTGCCAGGCTCTTGGGTTCCCCTGCTTTTGTCAGGTTCCAAGGGTGGGGCGCACCCCATCATGCACATCTGTCCTCTCAGGCCACCGTCCACAGCCAAGTCCATCTCCATCCCGGGCCAGGATTCTTCCTTGCAGCTGACATGTAAGGGCGGTGGGACCGGCAGCGGCGGCGTCAGTGGCACCAACTCTCTTACTGGGTCCAGGCCCTCCAAGGTCCGGCCCACCATCCTCAGCTCAGGTACCATTCCCCATCTCCCTTACTGCCATGGTGTTTCCAGATCCCAAGGGAGATTTGTTGAGGAGATGGAAGTGGTGGGATGGGGTCTCCATGCACCCATGTTCTGTTTGGCAGCCATTTTCTGAGCACCTTCTATGTACCAAGTGCTGTGGTTGGCTCCAGGATCACAGCAGTGGCCCACACCTACACTGAGTTATCCCTGCCCTCATGGCCCTCCTAGTGTAGCATGAGAGAAATCACACATGAATCAAATACATGTCCACTTACAGATGTGAGCAGCTGTGAAAAGCAGGTACCGAAGACAGGAGATGCTGTGTCAGGGTGGCATTTGCCTGACATCTGGGGGTGCAGTTGTCTGATTCCTGGCAGAGGGACATGTGTGAATACCCCCTCCCACATGCTGTGTGTGTGCCTTGGGCCAGCTGTTTTTCTTCTAATCTCAGTGGCTTCCTGTAAAATGGGGGTCAGTAATAGTTACTACCTCCTAGTTTGCTTTGGAAATTAACTAAGCAAGTGTAGCTACCACACCAGACCTGCCACATAATTAAGCACTCAGCATATATTACCTGGCACTAGGTTTTCACTAATTTATCACTGTTACTCATGTTAAAAAAAAATGAGAGGGAGCCTATATTCCCAGAGGAGCCAAGGTAGCAATCAGGAAGAGGTGCTACTGGGACAGAAGGCCTGCCCCCAGTGTCTGCTGGGCCCCCTTGTGCCTAATGCTGTGCAGGGTGAGCTGCCTCCCTTCCGTCAGGCCCCAGGCCCCACACCCCAGCAGGTAAGCTCAGAGCTGGGAAGCAGACCAGTCTGAAGCTAATAAGGGAGCAAGGTGGCACATGGTGACCTGCTTTGTACCACAGGAGCATTGAGAGGGTTCAGAAATATGGCAGCCCTTGGTCCCTGGGGGTGGGAAGCTGTGAGGAACCCTCTGACTTCAAGGGCCCTGTTTTCTTCAGCCCCAGTCAGATGAGGACAGAGGGCTAGGTCCGAGTGTCCACCCGAGCCTGGGGCTGAATGTGGGAATAGAGTGCTCCAAGCTAGTGTTTCCTAACTTCAGGGTGGGGTCCCCAGAGGAGAGACCTGGGGGCCGGCCGCCCAGAACAGATGGTGCCTTTAGGAAATAGAGAAGAGGCTCCCCTTCTAGGCAGGGTGGGATGTAGGCCCCAGTCGGCTCTGCAGCTGGTGCCCCCAACCCCATCCAGAGAACCTGCTGGAAACTTGAAAAGCCATGTGGCTTCGGGTAGGGACATAAACTGGGGTCTAGCCCATAGCCTGGGTGAGCTCATTTCTGAGCAGCCCTGGCTGTGTCCCACTTGGGAAGCTGGGGTGGCGGCTCTTGTCTCATTCCTGGCTCCCTTGAGCCTCCTGCTGGGGAGTGTCAAGAAAGTTTGTTTTGAAGTTGGACTTAGGGGTGACAGGCCTTTGGGGGGGACAGCCTGCTCTCTTCTGTCACCCCACTCCCTCACCCCTGTTCATTCCATTTCAGCTGCATTCACTCAAGTTCATTCAAATATCAGGGCCTTCGCTCATGCTGTCCCTCTGCTTGGAAGGCCCTTCCTCTGGTGCCTTTGGTACTTCCCTCCCTCCTCCGAATCCTGAGAAGCCTTCCCTGAGCCCCCAATATACACTCAGCTCCCAGGACCCCTGCTCTGCACCATTCACCTCAGCTGTAGTTAATTGTGGATCATTTATTTGTTCACCATTCTTCTCTCTGTTGTACCGTCTGAGGCAGGCAGTGCCCAGTAGAGCACCTGGCGTACAAGGCTCCTCGACAGTTATGTGTAGCACGAACAAGGCTGGGGTCAAATGGCAAGCTGTGGCTTGGGTGGGTTTTTTCCTCTGGGCCTCAGTTTTTCAGTCTGTGAAATGGAAATGCAGATGCCCCTTGCAACCACTCACTGTAGGAGCCTCAGTGAGAAGACCTGTGTGAAAGAAGGGCCAGCGTAGGTATCACTCAGTGACCTCCTGCCCCTCCCTGCTTTCCAGGGGTGCCAGAGGAGCCAGATCAGAACCTGTCCAGCCCTGAGGAGGTATTTCACTCTGGCCACTCCCGCAACTCCAGCTACGCCAGCCAGCAGTCCAAGATATCTGGTGAGTGCCCACCCGGTCCCACTTCAGCAGACTGCCACTGTCCTGGGAGCCCCCCACTGTAATGAACCACCCCTCTTGAACACTCATCAGGCTACAGCACGGAGCACTCACGCTCCTCCAGCCTCTCGGACCTGACACACCGCCGCAACACATCCACTAGCAGCAGTGCCTCCGGCGGCCTTAGCATGACCGTGGAGGGCCCTGAGGGCAGTGAGCGGGAGCACCGGCCCCCTGAGAAACCACCCCGACCCCCCCGGCCTCCACACCTGTCAGATCGCTCGTTTCGGTAAGTCCTGGTGCTCAGAGAGCACTCCCCTCCTGCCCTCAGGAGGCAGCATGATACAGAGGGCAGGAAAACTTGGCTCCTGGTGGCTCTTTCAGCCTCCAGTCTCCATCTGTAACATGGGACAACCTCAGGCCTAGCAGTTAATAGTTGTTGCAGTTTATCGTAGTGGTCATGAATGTGATCTGTCACCACTTACATACTGGGTGCCCCTTGGGTAGATGACTGATCTGTCAGCATCTCTGCCCTCACCTAGAAAGTCAGCAGCAATGTCCTAGGGTTGCTGTGAGGGCAAAATACATACCACCTGGGCTGTGCTGCGGCCATTCTGAGAGCTGTCAGTGTAAATGCTAGCTAGTATCACTGCTCTTGTGTCTGTCGTTGCTCTGACTGTTGCATCTCTGTTTCACCCCACCCCAGGCGGAAGAAGGACTCGATGGAGAGCCACCCCACCTGGGTGGATGACACACGGATCGATGCAGATGACATCGTGGAGAAGATCATGCAGAGCCAGGACTTCACAGACGGCAGCAACACTGAGGGTGAGCGACCCGTGCTGGGAGGGCTGGGGGCAGTGTTGCTTGCCCTAGGAGCTCCCCAGCTCAGCCCCCATCCTTGCCTGTGTCCCCACAGACAGCAACCTCCGGCTCTTCGTGAGCCGCGATGGCTCCACCACACTGAGTGGCATCCAACTGGCTAACAGGTAAGAAGTGAAGGTTTGGGGGGATGGGTCATCAGGGTTACCTCGGGTCATGGGGCAAGACAAGGCCTCTGCAGACCAACTGGCCTGACTTGAATGCCCATCTGTCACACAGTGTGACCTTGGGCAGATCACTTCCCTTCGAGCCTGTTTCCCCATCTGGAACCTGGACAAAGAGAATACCAACACCAGGCTGTGAGGGTTCCAAGGGTAATCCCTGCAGTGCTTAGTAAAGGGCTTGGCATACATCCTGGGCTTGTTGTTGTTAAGTGCCATCGAGTTGGTTCCGACCCATAGTGACCCTGTGTAGGGTTTCTGAGGAGCTGCTGGTGATCTTGCAGTTAAACCGCTGATCTTGCAGTTCAAACGGCTTTGCAGTCTTGCACATTAACCCACAGCCCCATACCAGAATACATGCTTATTTTGGGCCCCGTTTTCCTTCTCCTTCTTCTTGGATGTGAACACCCATAAAAAACATCATAATTATTCACTTATTTATTGAACAAATGCTTATGGAGCACCAGACAGCTCCCAGGCACTGTGCTCAGTGCTTGGATACAGCAGTGAGATCTCCACCCTCATGCTGGAGACAAGGGGGAAGTAGGATCTAATGTTTCCTTAAACTCTGTGTATAGAATGTTTTCTCAATGTCATCCACTCATTTAGAGCCTGTTACCATGTTTTGGTCCACTAACTGAATGATGAAAGAGTGTATGAGCTAGCAAGTTAGGGAGTGGTAGAGGAGCTTCCCACCTGTAGGGTAGTGTCAAAAACTTGCTTCTATGTTTCTGATGACCTGGTGGGAAATCTAGGCCCATAAGAGACAGAAGACCTAAGTGGGCAGCCCAGTGCCAGGACCTGCCCTCTGCTGCTGTTCTGCTGACCCCTGCTGCTCAAAGCTTGAAATTGCCACTTCCAAATCCTAGCTAGCCTCTGAGGCTGCCTGCCTCAGGTGACCTGGGACAACTTTGGAGGTTTCTCAACACTCCCTCTAAAGATGAGGAAATGAATACAGGGGAGGGACGGAAACAATTTGGTGGGCAGCAAGGTGATAGTAGAGTTAGATGCCAAGCCCAAGTGACCATACATAACCTGTGGATGGCCCTGGCCTCAGTGGGGAGACCCCTCACCTTCTGCTGGCCTCTTGGCAAACCTCATAACCCCTCTGAGCCTCAGTTTTCTCATCTGTTACATGGGGTACACCCAGGAAGGATTCAGGTTCAGAGCCTGTATCAGCTCCACAGTCCCACAGACAGCCTGCCAGCAAATCCTGACTGTGTCAGCTTGAGCAAGTGACAACATCTCTGAGCTTTGGTTTTCCCCCTTCACAAAACAGAGCCAGTTAGCAGCGCCTGCTTGTAAAGTACCTGCCAGGGCCTGACTTACAGGAGCAGTGGGTAAGTATGTGGAACAGTGAGGAAGTGGAGTTGACCTGTCTGTTCCCACAGGGTCTCCTCTGGTGTCTACGAGCCAGTTGTGATTGAAAGCCATTGAGGAGCAGGAATCCAGGCTGGAGAAGGATCCTCCCTGCCTTTGTGAGCGTCCAGACCCACATCATTCCAAGAGGGACCTTCCCCTTCAGATCCACCTCCGAAGAACCTCATCTCATCTGTGCCTCCTCCATGCACTCAAGCTCCACATGTCCCCCAAACATCATTCCATGGTCCTCCCCTCTATGCTGGGACCTTCCTGGCCCACTTGAGCCCAGGCAGCACTGTGAATATTCCCCTCCAAACCACTAGAGGGCAGGACAAACTGCTCCTTCAGCAGGTGGCCAAGACAAAGAGCAGGACTGCCTCCCCTGGAGACTGCCTGGACCCCTCAACCAGGGACAGGCAACAGCTCCTAAACACAAGGGGGCTGCTGTGGCTGGGGGCCCTCTTCCCTGCATTTCCGCCCACTCCAGGAGTACTGGCTGCAGCCGCCCCTGCCAGGACCTGACTCCATTGCCCTCTTACCTTGGGAAGCCAGCCCACCCCCAGAGCCCCACCTCCACAGCCCTCTGTCTGCTTAGTGCTACAGCTCCCCCTTCTCTGTATACTGGGGGCTGCTGGCAGCCTCCTCTGGGGAGCCAAGCCCACAGACCCCACCCACACTCCCCCCATCGTGTGTTCTCCTGCTGCCCTGGCAGCCTGCACTTTGCACATGCTTGTCTCCAGCACAGCCCCACCGCCCCTCATAGCCCCTTCCCTTCCCAAGGATCCCTGGGCTTTGCCTGCTGTGCAGTCACAGGCCCGGGACTGGCAGCCCGGCTGGAACGTGGCGCTACCTCTCGTTTCCAGTTAGCCCCAGCTCAGGCCTGGGACCTGTGCTGAGAATCATTTGCATGTTGAGGGATTCCCCTCTGCCAGGGCTGGGTCCTGAGCAACTGAGTTTCACTTGGGAAGGCCTGGGAGGTAGGGGGCATGGCCAGGCTGGGCTTGGCAAGCACAGCCCCCTTTCTCTGTCCCAGGGTCAGCAGGCCCAGGTTGGGGCTGATGTTGGAGAGGCAGGTGATCTGTGATGAGCCGGCCTGGAGCTGGATTCCTGGCCAAAAAAAGCACTCAGCCCTCCTCTGAAAAGATCCCTACTCTGGGCAAGGCACAGGTGGAACCCTGTAAGAGGTGTTGTCTCTCCAGTGGGGAGCAGTCTGGCCCTGCCCCCTCTGCTCCTGCCCCCCACTAAAGCTTCTATTCTCAGCACTTTTTCCTCCCTACTCCTATTACTTGCTTAAAAGTGGATTCTGGCTGCAGCCAGTCCCTGGGCCCCCACCTCCACCCTTTTCAACTTCATTGATTTTGTATAAACCCAGCAGGCTGGTGTTTATTTAGTTCTATGATTTTCTTTTTACTTCTCCTTTTTCTTTCTTTCTCTCTCTTTGGTTCACAGTTTGGTATTTTCTCCTCCCCAGATGAGGGGTAGGGGATTCTCTGTCTGCTGGCTGGGTCCCAGCAAGGTTGGGCATCTAAATGTTGGGGAGGGGTACAGGATGCTTGTCCTCTGGTATAGGTGGGTGGGGGTCCTCCCCAGGCTGGGAGGGCTCCTTGCCTAGTTTCCCATCTACCCCTACCAGCAAGAGTTGAGGTTCTTGATCCTGGAACTCCACTGGCATTGGGACCAGAGCATTTCTAGGTTTGGTTTGGTTTTAACTGTTTTGTTTTGTTTTGTTTAATCGCCTAAGTCTTTTTTTTTTTTTTAAGAAAATGTTAGAAGGTGCCTGCTGAGGCAGGATGGAGCTCTCTGTTCAGCCTCTGAATGTCCTTTCCTGCCTCACAGATGCCTGGCACTTTAAAAGGAAGCTGGCAGCACTATCTCCAAATGGGGAACCCCCTAAGAAAGTAGGGGAGTGTTGTCCTTTTCCTTCTGTGTCTGTGTGACCTCAGCCCAGTTGCAAGGGGGAGTTGCAGTCAGGGTGTTTTCTGGGTCTGGTTCAAAGTTCTGGGGCTTCAGGTATTGACTCTGGCACTGCTGGAGACATGCCTCCATGCCAGGAACCCCAGCCCTGCCTAAGATAGTCATCCCAGAAGGAGACAGTCAGTTACACTCTTCCAGTGCCAGGCCAAGGGCAGGAGAATTGGACTAGCTGAGAATTTGGCCATAACCAAATTAACACTGACTGGAGCCAGAGACCAGGAGCCCTGGCCTCATCCCCACACAGGAGCCCTTCAGCCCTCTGGCCCCCTCAAGCTCAGTGAATTCCCCACCCCCCCAGGTGCCCATAGCTCCTGGACTTCAAATTCTATATATAGAGAGATATATTAGAGATATTTTTGGAAAGGAATTGGTCTATGCAAAGCCAGTTTGAGATCTTGAAAGACAGTTTAACATTTTTAAGAGGAGATTTAAAGAAAATAAAGGTCTATAATATTTTTAGGGGTTTTTGTGTTTTCTGTTTGTTTTTCTTTCTCTGATCACCCCACAAGCTGACCACATGGTATGATCTACCAAAATGGAACATATCCATGTTTTCCTTTTTTTGGGGTAGGTGAACAGAGAGACAAGCGAAGGAGTGGGATTTTTTTTTTTTTTTTTTTTAATTTTATTCCTCTCCTTTGTAACAATGCTGCTGCCACCACCTCCACATTCAGCAGACTGTGTTTGTATCTCTGTCCCAGCTTCTGTTGTAGAAAATAACATTGTAAGGGGAAATCAGTCTAGTGTCACTACCTTGGTTTTGGGGGGGAAAATAAATGTTGCCGTTTTTGTTTAGGTCTGGCCTGTTTGTATCTTGTTAATTTAGCACATTGACACCCTCAGAAGAAACCCAGATGTGTACATGATGTGATGTTCTGGGAGTGGGGCAGGAGGCAGTGGCCAGCATTCTCAAGTCTTGGCTACTCATCATTATCACCACCTTTTATTATCTAAATCCTAGTGAGGAACAGACCCAGAGGAGTACTTTCTTGCTAATCTCACAGTTACTAAATGGCAGGCCAGGGATTTGAACTTGTCTCTGACTTCAGAGGCCAAGTCCCAACCAATGTTCTGTGGACCTCTCCAGCAATCTGTTGGCCTCGAATGGGTGTGGCTGAGGGCAAATAACTCAGTTTCCTGCTATAAAATGGGCTTGAGTGTCAAAGTGAGTATACAACCTGACTTGTGAGAGATGCTGAGCAAGTTCCCACACTCCCTAATCCCAGAATGGAGTTGTCACCACACTTGGCCTGGGCCCCTCTCCCGCCTTACCTTGACTCCAAAACTTGGCAAGCTCAGAAGTGGTAGGAAGCCTGGTGACTGATCAGGATAGAAGAGACAAAGTTCCCCGGGCCTGGTCCCTGCCCTCAGCCCAGCATTAGCCCCACCTCAGAGCTGACCTTGCCCGCCTCCCAACCACCACCACCCCATAGTCACTTACAACCCTGAATGGTAAGTCTTGGCCCTTTCTCAGAGGCACACCCTGGGAGGGAAAATTTGGCTCCTAACTGAAGTCCTGGTGTGGCACTTGATGGGACTGCAAGGTCTGTTTGAAACACAACGTCTGAGGTCCAAGCTCACCAGCTGCTCCTTGGAAACTCTATACAGGGTAGCTATGAGTCAGAACTGACTCGATGGTACTTATTATCAGCTGAATCCAAAGTCAGTCCTGACATAGAAGGAACTGGTTTGTAGGCCAAAAAGGGTTGCTCTTACCCAGCATCAGAAGTGGGGAAGGCTGAGCTGCCCCAACAGTCAGATAACAGTAGGTGAGGCTCGGAAATAAAAGGTTAAAGCTGGAAACATTGCCAGGCTCAGACTTGCCACCTTCTCACTGGGAAGACAGCAGGTCCACATAACCCCTCAAGGAGGCCTGGAGTGCTCAGGTGTACCCTGTAGCATTCCAGGTTCTAAAAAAAATAACACTATCTAAAAGCTAGTTAACTGGTGTGGGCCCAACCCCATTCTAGATACAGCAGTGACCCTCAGGGAGATCACACTGGGCCAAACCAACAAGTACAGG